AGGTATTTTTTAAATTTAGTCTTCACTAAAATGCGTTAGCTTTTGTTATTTCGACACTGTTGGCAAGTTTCGCATTCGCGACGGAGAACAGCGAGCTCGGGCTCCTGCAACGTCCGTCCGTTAAATCATTTATACGAAGGCGAAGGATCGAAGGCTCGAGACGAGAGGAGAGTAACGAAGAGAAATGTCGCGACTCGGCTCGGACAGGCGAACGGACTCGGGTTAATCGAAATCTACAGCACCCTCGGAAATCAGGAGTTATATATCCTCCCGCGCGTCCGCCCTCTCTCGCACGCCCTATTATCCCGAATTACGCCTTATTGATACCAGATTGCCCGCGGTAATTTATATCTCGCGGGTGATTTAGTGCACTTCGAGGGCCTTGATTAATGACACACACAGCTATCTGCGGTTCCTACCTTCTTTTCGCCCTTCTTGTTCTCTACTTGCCCGATGCGTCGAAGCCGCAGCGAGACGCGTGAAAGCTTCAATCGCAAATTGCTAACGCTGGAGCGATGAGCCTCGCGTACATTGCACGCATCAATTAAAAATTTATTACGGATAATGTTTGCACACTTGTGACACAATTTGTTGACATTCCTGTCGTAAAATTCTTGCAGGTAAATACAATGAAATGTTAATTAATTATTTACAGTCTTACGTCTTCGAGACGTCGAGTCATTATCGTGATATCCGCGATAAATTATATTAATGATCTGCATGGAAAACATTATGGATTCGTTCTGTAGCTCGGAAATAATCTCCGCACACGTGCGTTTCTATGCTGAAATAATTTAAAATTCATATGCGGTCTCTCTCGCATTGAAACGTTTCAAATTAATCATTTTGACATGAATCTCGTATAACAGCCACTCTCATCCCTGAGACGATAATTAGATGATATCTGCCTTTTATTAAGACGGAGAATATATTATTCACTTTGCTTAATCAAAATTATTTTTACCGGGCGTTAAAACGGTACGTTTTGCTTTTGTGCCCCCTCGAGGAGTCGAGGGATACCGGTGCGCCGTCGCCGTCGCCGTCGGACCGACAAGTATAGCACGAGTTACGCGCGGAGTATCCCATGCGAGTTCATAACATTCTTCTATTTACCGCACATTATCCCTCTCGCCGCGGAGTGGTTCCGCATTTCTGTGCTTAGCATTCATCGCTCGCTAGACGTTACCGCAGGATCGAGCCTATTTGCGGTAACCGACAGCGAGGATCGGGCTATTGAAATCTCGTTAGGTTCACTCGGTGTATTGCCCTCGACGGAGACGAGACCGTGCGTGGGATCTGGCACGTAACACGCCTGGATATCACGCGGAAATCATGGGATACTGAAGCTGACCGAGCGAGCGAAGACGAGACAGACAAATGGATGGATGAACCTGCTCGGCGGCGAGCCTCGATCGATTCGAGCAGATTGAAAAAGTACTTTGTTCCGATTGATCGGTATTGAGATTGCTGATATCCATAAAGTGCCTCAGCGTTAGAACAAAATAATGTGGGAACAATCGTTGCCGTTTTGTAATTCATAAGCAGGTGGAAGATAAGGATATATTGTACATGATCGTCTGAGGCTTGTGACTGTAATAATTTTGATAAAATTTGAAAGTTTATAATAATTTTTCGATATATTTTATTGAAATAATTTTCTTTTTGTTACATAATTGATATCTTTTCCATTGTTGCAAAAATTTTGAATCTGCTTTTTTACACATTCTGCACATAACAAGCAAGAGCTTTAAACGTCGCTATTTACTTTTTATTACGCAATTGATTTTAAGTTTTATTAAAAAATAAAATATGTTCTCTTATCGCTTCACGTCGTGGAATACTATTGACATTTCTTGCTCTAACGATAATAGTCTCATAATATTGCAGACATACATAAAATATGTGTATTGATTTAAAACATGAACTCGTGCCTTTCGAATGCGAGTTACTTCATCAATGTCATTTTATATCCACATTATTTAATCCGTTTAGAAACAAAAATACACGAAACCGTATGTTTCATAACTAACTATTAATTATTACATCGCACGTCGTATTATCTGCAAAATTTACGGATCTATTCGGACACTTAAAATCCCAAATTATCCGTCGCAGGGATGGGCGAAGCTGTCGGGCAATTAAAGCATGTCGGCGCATCGTCCGACTCGATTATTGCGGCGTGCGCGCTCGCGATAATTGCTTCCGTGTACAATGTGTAAACCGTTTCCGGCGGCTCGGCTAAACCGCGTGTAATCTGTGCACCGTGTAACGACGAATTTCACGAATTGCACCGGCCACGTCGGCCAGATGTCGGCTGACCACCATCGCGCCCGCTCGCTCGGAGTACGCGGAAATGCATCCGTGTGAGGGCTGCAACCAGTCGGCCGCGTCGCGTTTCCCGAAGGGCCTGTTCTCGCCACGCGAGATAATTGACGGTTGAGTCTGCCGGAAGAACCGACCGACTTTATTCGACGAACGAGTTAGTTACAATACCGGCTATTAATCTGCGGCCGCGCTTATAACGAATTGATCGTATTTTTTTACGAAAGAAATAATCTAAGAGGCCTTACACGCTTTTCATGTATCAAGTAACGTTTCAATAAAATATAGATACCTATCGGCTTGAAGGCACAATTTATCGTTACGTACATCTATTTGATTAGTATTTGATTTTATCTTTAATAATTAAATATCTGATAAAATCTAAAGGCAGAAAATTGATTTATCAAGAGAGTTGGATTCTTTAACGATGTTGCTCAGCTCATTTTAGCGTTTATTCGTTACATTTATTCTATACGATCACAGAAGATGTAACTTATTATTATTCACACTTTTGTA